GTACGTATGTATGTACATGTTTCTGCATGTGAACATTTTAGCTTATTGTTAGAGAGGCCAGCCTTTCTACCTGGTACACCCACTTACAGTGGACTGTAGAAAGTTTGCACTTTCCTATATTACAGCTTGAATGAAGTGGAGCAACCTTATAAGCAGTAGTTCACCACATATGGAATTTTACTTTTATACATGAACATTGATAATCTAAGACATAACACTGAGATAATAAATACACCAACATTGGTTAAGAACAATGTAATATGTACTGGCTGGCTATGGGGTATGTGGGTAGCTGGGGGGCAAGATGCATAAGGAAATATATCTGTGACTAACAGAGTATGCCTAGTAATGACATGTGTATGAAATTCTATTCTGACTTTTGTGTCAATGACTATGTTACCAAATCTTTGGATTTTTTCTTTCTTTCATTTTTATTGAAGACAGTTCAGGCCAAACAAGTATTGGATTACAGAAATGAAAACTTGTGTCCAGAAAATTAACTTTTCGACAACTGCTAAATATTTGGTTAATGTTTAATGTTTGAAACAAATAAATATGCTAGACATCAAAGGTCATATATAACTACGGTAAAGTACTAGGTCAGAAAAGGTAAAGAGGAGTTAATGATTAGGATAAAATGTGTTAGGTATGAAAGATTAGAGAGCATTATGGGATACTATGGTAGAGAAATGGGGAAAAAAAGGGAGTAAGTGAACTAGAGCAGAGATTAGTAGAAAGGATAGGGTTAAGGCAGTTGGCGATTGAATGAATTATAGTGTATCTGTCACTCACTGGGGAAGTTATACAAACAATGTTCAAGGAAAATAGAGATGGCTGTTGGAAAGTAGGAGAAGAATCTGGGGAGAAGGGGAGCTGTTTGATGTCAAAATTTAAAGGGTGTTATGGAAAAGTATGGTAACAAAAAGGGAGAAGAGGGAAGTAAATGAAGTAAAGCAAAGATTAATAAAATGGGAAAGGTTAAGGGGGTTGAGCGACTGAGTGAATTGCATTGTATCTGTGACTGGAGAAAGAATAGGGACATTGTTCAAGGAAAACAAAGGTGCCTCTTGGAGAAGTAGGAGAAGAATCCGGGGGATAAGAAAGGGGGACTGGGGAAGGTGGTGAGGTATCAGAAAGAATGTCTGGAGGGGAGGGGTCTGGAGAAGGACACTGTTGTAATAGAGGGGATTCATGTGAGATTCAAGTGGGAGCAGTAAAGGTGGGGTATGTTGGGAGGGTTTAGGAGGAAGGGGAGTGGAGGGAACTTGAGGAGGAGGAGGATGGATATCTGCAAATACTTTAAATGTAGGAGTAGGAACAGAGGAATTGGAGGGTGGGTGAGGGAGTGGAATGTTCCTTTGGGTCATCTTTAGTTGGTCATTTTTTATAGTCTGACGAGTCCTTCTTGTAGATAGGACAAGCATTTGGGGGGATGGAAACAGTACAAGTATTAACAAAGGGGTGAAGTTCAGAAGGAATGGATTTGACAGTGATGTCAGTTACAGTAGATAGTGCATGAGCTTAGGATTCAGATGTGACTGTGACAAGGCATGAACGATCGGAGCGACTAAAAAAGGTAACCTCGCCTACTTGTTTTTGGAGGCACTGTTGAAAGAGAAGGGTATTCTTAGAATAGGGGAATGTGGGGGGGGGGGGCACAGAGAATCGATCCCACTCGGCTGGGCCAAAGAGGGTACTCAAAAGATTTGTAAACGTAGAGGCAGTAAAAAGACGAGGACAAGAGGAAGATAGGGTGGTATGGAGTGGAGTAGTTCTGTGGGGGGTAGGACAGTAAGGATGAAGAGTAGTAATAAGGGAAGAGGGGGTAGATATTGAAGAGAACTGTGCAGTACACAGCAAGGAGAATGTTGGGAGAGAGGAAGGGGTGCTTTCTGGAGGTTGAGTAATAACCTGGATGGGTGTTTTGGAATGGATAGAGTTGTTAGTAAGCTTCGAAGAGGGGGTATTGGTATCAGTCGATGGAACAGCTATCAAAGGAGGAGCAGGGGTTGAAAAACCTGAATAAAACCTGGGCCTGAATAAAACCATTTTTGTTATATCTACTTATCTCTATATCTGTACACAGATGCTGTAACAACATTCATGAATAAAAATTAAATTCCATACATGGTGAACTAATGCCTATAATGAGATTTGGTCCTGTATATTTAAGTTGGTGTACAAGAATATAAACAATCACATATATGTATTTATTGTATATGTATATGTGTATATATAAATATATATAAATATATATATATATATAATATATATATATATATATATATATATATATATATATATATATATATATATATATATATACATATGTATAGGTGTATGTTTACGCGTATGCATATTCATATGTATATACATATGTATATGTATATGTGCATGTGCATATGTACATGTATCTGTATGTATGTGTGTGTGTGTGTGTGTGTGTGTGTGTGTGTGTGTGTGTGTGTGTGTGTGTGTGTGTGTGTGTGTGTGTGTGTGT